AAATGTAAAGGCAGTATATAACATAACAAAGATCTTCTCTCTGGCCCTGTTGACTGTTGGGCCAAGTGCTGTTAAGGTCCACGTGGCACACAAGGAGGCAGTGTGACTAGAAGCCTGCACAGCAGCCCAGTGCTGATGTTTTTGCATTGCACCATGCAATCATTTAATTTTGTGTTGAACTTGGGTAGGCCCAGGAACGATTCTGCTGCTACTCGCCACTAATGTAAGCCATGGTTAGGAATTTAACCCATATATGTGAAGAAAAAGATCCCCCGTATAGCCTTAACAGACTGTTGGGGCAAGTGATGTTAGCGAGCACCAATAAAAGCCGGCACGGTACACGAGGGTATAGGTAGGCCAGCTCCTCGCTGGACCACCTTTGTCTAACCGGTGGCAATACTTACACACCACGCCAGATACTCATTTGAGGCTGAGACGACCTAGGGGAGGCCCAAAAACAGTTCAGTTCAGATATTCATCATTGGTGTTAGTGGCCGTAAGCAGGAATTGAACTCGGGTCGCCGGGTTTGTAGCGCAGCACGCACACCACCACACTGCCGCTCTCCATATCCAAGATGTTTTAAAAAGATTGACCCAATTTCAAAGCAGGATATTTCACGATGGCAACATGTTACAATTACCCAAAAAGTTACAAACGGTTTAATGAGTTATCAAGTTTTACTAACTATTTTATAAATGCTCTACGTGCCCTCCACCTGCTGTACGGACAACATCGAGACGATAGTTGAATTCATCCCAAACGCCTCTCAAAGTGAAGTCTTCTTCCACTGAAGTCACCGCTGCCGTGATTCTGTTTTTGAGGTCATCCAGATTAGTCGCTAATGGTGGCACAAAAACACGGGTCTTTGACGTATCACCACAAGAAAAAGTCGCAGGGTGTGAAGTCTGGGGATCTTGGGGGCCAAGAGTGTAGCCAAGTCTTGGGGTCCCATGCGACCTACCCAACGTTGACGCAGTGTTGTCTTGCGAATGACTGAGGCTAGGGGCTTTTGTGCGCAGGGAGAGGCATCTAGCGGTAATCATTTGAAACTCTATGCCCCGCCCTTTTAAGTGGTAAGAGTTTCATTCATGGGCGATTCGTGGTTGCAGAGATATAGCGATTTCAAATTGGGTCCATCTAGAAACACCCTGTATATACACACAGGCCTAATTTCCATAACCGCTTGGAACCAACTCTGATGGACCAAGAGTGACCCAGTTTTGGGCCAGGATCAGCAAGAACATCTCGTGCATCGGTTCCCATGCTCTATGAGTCGCAAGGCTCTGCAAACCCAGCACCTACTACTGCTCGCTCCATTTCCACTTTTCTACTCGTCAACAGTGGTTCTAATATCAAAATGGTTCTTCTACCGATCAAAATTCAACAACTGTTTAAGACCATTTCCATTTACCGTCCATTTCACTTTTGCGGCGCATTGGCCACATGCTGTCAACAGTGACACGGCGTCTCGCACTTTAACACTGAGCCGACGGACGTTGCGATTGGGACTGGCTAAGCTGTACGCAAGCAGCATGCGTTCGAATGAACAAAGCGTTCCTTCTCTGATCCACGTGTTCCGCTCTCTCGTCTCCTGGCGCAATTCCAAGCGGTGCTTCTTTGCACATTTTTCACCAATAGTTCTGCTGTCACCAACGTGCATGCGATATCACACCTGTGGTTATAGAAATAATCCCTGGCCGCTGATGAAGCACTTAGGCAAAATGGATACAGTGCCCAGACCATCCATCCCACCCCCCTCTAGTATTCAACTGTCCATTACGCAATGATACAGTGCACGCCGCCCTTTCCCACTGACAAGCAACCATCCAGGACAGCACAAGCCCATGTCCAATAAACACACAGTTCAATGCTGACCATCATCAGCCAGGTGCAGCTGTTTTTTTTTAATACATCCAGGCGCACAAAGGAGTGGGTTTGATAAACAACAGATGCGATCTCCCTCGGCCGGCAGAATTTCGAACATTTCCTAACAGATGCTTAATTCTGCACAGATTATTAATGCTTCGAACGGCGTGACAAAAAATATATATATTCGCGGCGACTGGTCCGGATAATGTGAGCCGGGGGCCAAGGTGCACAGCCGAGTTAGTCAAATACACAGCGGACACAAGATAGCTGCAGGAACACAAAAAAAACCACACCGCGTGTTTTTTTTGCGTGTTAATTTAATTGTACATCCTTACGTCGAGACATGCGGGCTAAAGTAAAAAAAATTAAACCGACTACGACCCGTGGCTCGCGGCGACCTGCTGACCCGCGTGTAAACCGCGCGCGATACGGTCAGCGCCGTTTCTGGGGTCTCCGGCCCAAAGACCTAGAACATGCTACCAGCTCATGTTCGGGATCCATCCCCGAGTATGAACCAGTTCTGCGACAGACTCGAAACAGTGTTGTTTCAGAGAGCCTACTTCAATGTGTCATCGATGTGCATTCGCTATTGGACTGGACTCATAACAGTGCGCCATAACAAACGCTCTTATCTATGCGGTAAGAAACCCGCTTTCGGCGTGCCACGTGGGAATCGCCGAGCAGTGTTCAGCACTGCAGCAAATATAGCCGTGTGCACTGTAAAAACACTCGTTTTATTGGGGTGTTAATAGCAACTCCTGCCAAATTTCAAATGTCACAGCATCGTGTCATCATTGGAGTTGCGGTGTTAGCCTCGTGCACCCATCGCATAGGATACGCGCGTACGCGGTGGAAAAGAGCTAATGGCACGGGCTAATCGTTTCAGTAGTTTCGTAAAAAAATATATATATCGGCTGTTTTAAAAACACTGCTAATTTGCCCCAATTAATTAACGCCAGGGGAAAATAAAAAAAAACACAACGAAGATGTTCTCCCTGCTATGAGCTGCTGGCAACGGCACAATGCTTACACAGACAACTCTCGCTACAATGCTTCCAGGAATCACGAGTAGCATTGGGTCTATGAGCCTCGATAACACTTGGAATCCCACAGGCATTCCATTTCAAACGACGCACCCACGTATTTCGACTCCATCTTGTGCCATTACTGATATTCTCAAAGATGAAAAGCACTGCTCCAAAAGTTAAAAAAAATAACCATTGCATTGCTACTGGTAACCCAAAGGGGTGCAATAAGACGTATTGTTCTTGCGAATGTGCAAAGACCCAGAGAAAGTGAATACCTTTCGCATTTTTCTCCCCAGGGTTTCAACAACAGACCCGAAATTTCCTGCCCAGTGCCTGAAGTCGGGTTAATGGGGGTGATAGCTGTGTGGACCAACATAGATTATTCCCCCTGCACCACAGGAGGCCCTGTTTAACATACCCACTGAAATGCGACGCACTGTAAAACTGAATAATTGCGGGGCACATCATGGCCAGCACGTAAAAAAAAATATATGGTCATTACTAAATGCTAATATGCAGCACAGTCCAGCGTATTCAATAAAATGATTCTTAATTGCACGATTAGCATTTTACCAACTTCCTTTCCACAGCAAGCCGAGCCGCGAAGCTGCCTACGCTGGCCACTGGTGCCCTGGATTCAATGGGAAGTGATTTTCTCATGCCATTGAATTACCTGACACTAAATTAGCTTAATGAAAAAATCCTCGGCCATCTAACACCAGCAGCCTCTTGGAGTGGGCCAGGAAGGCACACGTGGCATGTGACTTACTAAAATCATCCAAGGACAGACCACAGAGACCTTCGCTGGCCAATTTCTAATCAAGCAGCGGCCAGCCAAGCTCAGAGGTTATAACTGCGCACTGCACGTCCTTAATTTTAGTAACATTCTGGTGGCTATAGCCTGGCGTTTAGATAAATAAATTTAAACACCAAACAATTTATACAAATTAAGAAACCGTATCTGCCTTTGAGGCCATTTAAGTGCTCCCAAAGTACACAATGATAACCAGTACACAAAATAATAATGACGTTTGCAAGACTGTGGCCATGAATATTAACAAATGATTGGCCTAACGTTTAAATTGTAACCAGATCTCTCTGTATGTTTCCCCTTGGCTTTGAATACTGTATCAATTGCGCATGCGAATTTGAAGCGATAAGCACGAATGTAGGAGTGTATCTGTAAATTAAGATATGTTAAAATATTTTCTAAAGTACCCCTGAATGTTGAGCTTAGAAATTACAATGGTTCACTGTGGACTAAACAAAGAGCCTCTGTATAACATCTGATACAAAGCAATTATTTATTTACATCATGCAGAAGGTGAACAGATGCCACGGAATATTATATTTCCATCTTTAATTCCTATATCTGAAACAACAGTGGCTTTTATCAGCCAAACCCTTTAATACGACTCCCTCTTTAAAACAGATGTTTTGAATATCTGTGTTTTATTGGGGCCCAGCAATGAGAGAGTGGTGGTGGTGGGTGAAGCAGTGGAAATGATGTGACAACTGTTGACCTGTCGTTGAAGAGATGGAGAAGTGACATTTTTGGCCATTAAAATATCACGCCGTTAAATTCAGGTCACTCGTGAGTTTCACTCTCCAATGATATACGCGCAGATAAATGTGCCACATTTTCTCTTAATGCAAGCCACATTTCTTTAGCATTGACATCAAAACACTGCATTTTTTTCACTTGTTTATTCCAAGTGAAGCTGTAACAAGCTGCAACCGTGGCATGGCTGTGTAGATTGGAAACGGAACCAGTTGGTTGCGGAAAAACGTTGTGAGAACTGTCAAAGGTTAAATATAACAGATTAGCAATATAAGTAAATATGGGCAAGAGTGTGCTGAGGGGACAACGTTGAAAATACCAATTTACTAAGAATGTGCACAACTCTTACACAAGCAACCAGGGCGCCTGGACCTGTGACTTCACCTCAATGGAATGCTCTGGGGGCTCTGGCTCTCAAGAGAGAAATTGCAAGCACAATAAAAGTGAAGCTTTCTCAGAACGAATGTAGACGCCCAAGCTAATACCAAGAAAGAAGAGACAGTACAACGGGGGCTGAGCGGCTGCTAGCACAGGGTCTTACCTGGCTGGCTGTGGGAGTTCATGACGCCCTCCGTGGCACACCGATGTGGGATGGATTTATCCTTGTCTCCAGGCACACTTGTCTCGAGGGCTTCTGATGCCTTTGTCGTCATGCCATTGTGACGTTCGTCAATCTATATGGAGACCGTCGATGACAACATGTGACAGAAATAAGATAAGTTATGCAGAAGATAGGAAATCATAAGCAGTTACAATGTTTTTCAAGCACTCATTTTCATGCAAGGCAATACAGCGTGAATGCCATTTTTGTTTAGACAACACAGCAATCTGAATGTACGTGTGGTTTTAAAAGATTTTCGAATATATACAAGCACATCTTGAACTACACACTGCTCCGTGTGAACTGATGAAGGTGGGGAGCATAGATGTTGGAACATGGTACAGTAAAACAATGGCTTCCGCGGCACTGCCCTCTGCTGACATATCCCCGTACGACCGTATCAGTCTGACACTTGCGAACATCTCGCCCCGGTGACGAGATATTAACCACCTTGCCTGGTATACAGGAGGTCGTGGGTTCGATCCCGACCCTGACACATGTATTGTGGCGTTTGCATGTTGTCCCCGTGGTCTTGTGGATGTTTCCATGGGTCCTACCGGTTTTTTCCGTCGACATTTATAAACATGCGATTAAAGTACAGTATTTAGCTTCAATTCATTTGCACATGATAAGCCACTTCATTGGGCTATCATTTGTGGCCAGCTCGCTTCTGAAAAAGAGCTAGATAGCTCAGCGGGGCCTTACCTGGTAAAACATATATAGTTTTAGTTTCGTGTTTGAATGCATCATGGTCACCCATCTAAAATTCTGACGAAGCCCGGGTACATCCCGGTCGTTTGGTCATACGCTTGTGTGTAATATACACTGTCATATCAGAACACGACCGACATATCGTTGCAAACGATAAAAAAATGACAGTTTCAATCACGGTGCATGAATGTCTCCATTGCAATGCACAGCAGCCCGAGCGGCAGGATCGTATTTAACCCCCTTGGTATTTACAACATCGACATGAACGCAGACTGCAACGCTCAGGCCGCGGGCCATCATGAGGCAGGAAGAACTGCAGGTGATCCTAGCCCTGCCACACGTGGTCACATTCCTGTGCTGGACGTGATTCCATCGCGCAGGCACATGCATGTTCCCACGCCCCGCACTTGGGCGTATTATTGCACACACCACAGACTGCTCCTGGCCAAGGGGGCAGGCAAGTCAAGACCACTGCCACCATTAGCACCACACAATGGCATAGGGACAGTATTACATATGCACAGTAGTGCAGGTATTTCATCTTTTCAGCGTAACATAAGACTTAATCCACTTACAACACATTACCTATGGTTCGGGCAAGTTTTCCTATTCCCCCGCCCCATCCCCAGCTTCTGTAAACCAGCAGTAGAAAATGGTTGCACTGCATCTAATGATTCTGCAGGTCACGTGTGGTGGGGTAAAGTGTGGGTGACCTCACCTCTTCCAGGATGTCTAGCCAGTGCCAAAGCGTAGGCCAAACATCCTCTAAGTGGCTACTATAGAGCTGCCCCGAGTGGACATCTTTCCACACACAGGAGCACGAGCAGGCAATTGCAGGGCTGCATCTATTCCTTCCACCTTTTACTCATGATTAATGGGTAATATAAATAAATAAAAACTTCTTACCTACATTTGATAGGCTTTCAATAACAGTAAGTGTTGTATATCGCTAAGTACAACACTGCCTATGCCAAGACGTTACACATACACGACATTCGGTTGTGTTCACGGTGTGGCTGCTTGCAAACCACAATGTTTATATTTTAAATTGCGGCTTTTCCATTGAACCTTTTAACCAATACCACAATGACAACGTAGCTACAACCTGCACTGGTTACAGAGCACCGTGCGCCCGGTGAAGCACGCACAAGTGTGATGTGAATTCTAAGTGATGGGGAATTGGAAATGCAGCACGTGCAGAGCGGTGCGGAAGGATGCATATTAAGCTCAATGTCTGCGTGCAGCCCAGATGTCATCCGTTGGCATCAGGTGCCATGATGGTCTGACACAGTCTTCTTCAACACAAGATGGCATAGTTAGGTGACGCCAGGTTGGCGAGATGTTAACTACTTCGCCTGCTATACAGGAGGTTGTTGGTTGGATCTCGACGCTAACGCCTGCGGACTTGGGAGTTTGCATGTTCTCCCCGTGGTTGCGTGTATTTTTTTCCGGGTTCTCCGTTTTTTCCCCTCCACATTTCGAAGCATGCGCTTAAGAGTATTTAGCTGATATGAATTCCCACATAAGCCACTTTGTTGAACTATCATTTGTGGCCATGTGGCTTCTGAAAAAAAAGAGCTAAATAGCTCAGTCGCCCTTACCTGGTAGAATAAAAAATAGTTCATAGTTTAGTTTAGAAATTATCAGGTAGTGTTGGCACTCTGATAGCTCGATGCAAACTAGTTCAATAGCATTCAGTCACAGGTCGTTTTGTCGGCCACAAGGCCGGAGTTTAACTTTGATAATATATGTACTCTCACCACTACAAGTTCATGTTGTAAAATTACTCATATGCTTAGGACTTCCATAATTATACTGCATATATTATTAAGACTCCTCCAGCAACCAAGGCCTTTTGGCAAAACCATTAATAGCTCTCCAGTCCATGGGAGGTCACTCCGCCTTTGCTGTTTCTGGCTGCATGATCTGGATTTTTTATTTACCCTGGAGAAATCCTATGAACTATGAAGCTCTTTTTCACAGATGTCCAGTCGGGCGCACGCCACAATGTTATAAGAATACAAAGAAAAACCATAGGCGTGCTACTGACTCCCTGCCACTGTTAAATTCCAGGCTCAAGACATTCCTATTCTCCTCTACGTATGTATTTTCATTTTCACTTTGCTTAAAAAAATATATAGATACCTTCATTTTTCCCCGTCATGATACAAGTAAGCCAGTTTCTGTACAGCTGCTTGGTGTCCAGTTGCATTTAGACGTAACATAAACGATATAGAAATATGTTTTGGCATTCAATTTCTGTGCAGATGTTTTCTTTGCAGATGTTTAGGTAAAAACAAACCTATACATTTCTGTGTTGGAATGTATTTTACTGTATCCTGTTTGTGTATAGGGATTGGAATCTGTTGCTTATAACTAGTCCAAACTACGCTACTTCCTGAACTAGGTTTTGATGTTACCCGTCTTGGTAATTAGCCGCAATTAGTTTCGTCCTCTCTTTGCCAATGTTGAAATGTAACTTGTATTGCACCAGCCCGTGATTACTTCCTGCTCTAAAGTTGCTGAGGACAAAGCGATCTCTGACAATCTTGGGTTCGTCCGTGAGAAGCAAGCCAATATGATTTGTCATTGATCCACTTGGACTTAAGCAACCATTGGAAAGATGTTCTAAATCGAACTAAACATTAAACTAATTTTCATTGGTACAGTATATTTTTTCAAGTAGTGGTACCCCAAACTTTCGCAGCACAGGCTGGTGCACTGCCGGTGCCGATCACTGTGCTACACATTTCATCATGATAAGTCCGCCAATCAAATGCACATTTTTTATGCTAATTCCTTTGTCGAGGCACCTTAATCTCTCTCACACAGCTTAAAGGTCGCAGTCTGAGCTTGGCTCTGTTTCACTCCAGCGCAGTCTTCGAGACAGGCTGGTCCCTTCACCTGATGAAGGCCGCTTGTGTTGTGGCCAAAACGTCGTGATTTTTGTTGTTTTATTTTTTACCTACGTGACTTTACCGAATAGATCCAAAGAGTATGGATCCTTGCAGTCACGAAAGCTTCAAATCTAGAATCCACTTGGACTTCTCATGTCCATTCTGTAGACTCGTTAAACTTCATGTCAGTGATGTCCGTGAACTCAAACAATAATAATTTTCCTCTCTCAGTCCTCACTATAGAAAAAAAATGAGTAAGCAAAGTCAGTAAATGAATATCACAACTTTTTAAAGTAATGAGATAACTCACACTGTAGTGGACAGTGGACAGGAATCAGAGGGCAAAATTATATAAAACATCAGAAGAGAAGACATCTCTGAAACCGCAAAATGCACATCGATGAAAATCAGATAGGAGAGGGGATAAACAATGTCAAACAAAACTCAGTAAAGACATTCGACAAAAAATGTAGATTTTTTTTTAACATAACACAGACATGATTGAACATGTCATAACAACCAGTAGGAGCATGAAAGCAGTCAAAAGAAAGTCGATGATTGGTTAACATCGAATATAAGTGCTAGCTAAGCAAGATGGAACCACGATATATAAGAGGCATCATCACTCGTCGAGGAATTATAAACAGACGGATATAGCTGGTTTTATAAAATGTGTATACTACCACTCAAGGCCGTAGCCATGGAGTCAACATTAGCGGGGACCAAATATTCCAGGGGGTCTGGGGTCCCCCCCCAGAAAAATAAATAAATTTGAAAACGAATTTCCCACAATTTCCTGCCTAAAATATAAAAAAAAATTCACTAACACATAGGAAGGACTTTTTATCTATTTTTTACAATAATGTCTAATAGCGTATTGTATTCCATTGCTCTGTTCTTTCTTTTTTACCTTTTGTTTCATTGTATGTCATGGCAGAGATTAGGGATTAATAAGGTTACAACCATAACCACAATCATATAAACAGAAATCTATTTTATAGCAATATTTGGGGGGGGGACATTTTGAGCATATTGGAATATTGGGGGGGGATGTGTCCCCCCCTAATATATATTATAATTACGGCCTTGCTACCACTGACCAAATGATATTAACGAGATTCCATTAGAGACAGACAAATATATCAAGAATATCAAATCGCACTTTGCGTGCCTTTTTGTAGATTATGTAAAGACAACCAATTGAGCAGAAACTATTTATTCATCCACAAACTGACACTTAATTAAAACAAAAAAACCTAATTATCATAACTATTGAGACTGCATAAAAAAGTAACAAAATACAAATTAGACGAATAGCCAAGTAAGAAGATATTCTCTTTACAATATTAGAACAGAAGATATTTGGAGAAAAACCGATATAAAGGCATAAATACAAGCGGTGAAAGTATTAACCATCCCAAATTTGCAGATTGCATCGCCTTTAATAGGACACTTGAACTCCAGC